AAATTTACATCCCAGTGCCCTAATAAAAAGCAACAAATATTAAATTTTCACAAAATATCACTCAAAAATTCAATGTGGAGGTTAGATAAAGTACCTGGGGTTCGTTGATTTCAGAGCGGTGAGATCGGAGACAAGAAGCTTGAAACACTCTACTTCTACAAGATAAACTCCTCCTAACAACAGCCGAAGAAGACGATTGTTCTGCAGAAGCTGGTGCGTTACAGCGTTAGTTGCATTCTTTTTGCTATTGCTGGAACCCATCTCAGCAAATCCTCTTCACTAGTCACTGTAATCAACGCGGCATTTTTTCATATGGGAAAAAAAAAAAAAATTTAAAAGCTAGTGGGGCACGTGCCCCACTAGGCCCCACTGTAGGTCCGCCAGTGCTTCCCTTCCAGTTGCATTGCAGTCCTTTCTTGTTCATCTTCTTATCTGAAACCAAAAAGAAAAAAAAAATTAAAAAAATGAACCAACAAATAAAAGAATATTCAATTTTGACTAATTTGTCTAAGAGAGAGATATACCTTTTATATTCTCAGTATTCCTTTCATCAAGATTACTTTTAGACCTGACATTTTCTGAACCCGTTTTCCTTGATCATTGTGGTTATTTTCAGAATTTTTTCCATGCCTAGTGTTAAATATAGAAATATAATATGGAATATTTTTCATTATAATATTTTTTTTAGTGTAGGATTACTTTCCTTAGTAGTTGATTTTGTAATCTTTTCTTTAATATTTATTTCATTTTACAGTTATTTGTAACCCTATAAATAGGGTCTTCTACATTGTAATATTTACAAGACCACAATAATACAATTTATATTTCTTGATATAGTATCAGAGCAGATTTAACTTGGACTTGGGTTAAACTTGCAACACATAAACTTCAAAAGCACAATAGCAGTAACTTGAAAGAGATGTCTCAAAGGTCTTCTGCAGCTACTTCAACAATGTCGGGTTGTCACTTTGCAACTCCTTCTTGAAGTTCTCGGCAAAGAAGCTCTCAAATAATGAGTGGTCATGTTTCCTAAATTTTCAATATTTCTATCATGTTTTCAGAAACATCAATTACACACACAAAAAAAAAAAATCTTTTTCTGGGAATTTAATTCCGTTTTATTTGAAGGGTCGGCACCTTGAACTTTACCGACTCTTCCCTTACCTCTTGACAAATATAAGGTGTTTTCTTATGTTAAACTTTAGATGGTTGGTACTTTGAACTTTATCGGCTATTTCCCTATCCCTTCACAAAATCAAGGGTTTTCTTATGTTAAACTTGGGAGGGTTGTTACCTTGAACTTTATCGGCTCTTCCCTTGCCCCTTGAAAAATTCGTGGTTTTCTTATGTTAAAAACCAAAAATAAAAATAAAAATGTGTCTATCAAATATTTTCTTCCAGTAAACAAGAAGTCACTTATCTTCATCAACAATGACAAAGACCTCAAGTGCTTGGAGTTCTTCAAAAACAAGGTGGTAAAGTTTACATTTTAAAATTCAGGTGGTAATTATAATTATTAAAAATTTAAAACCTTAATTTATCATTTTCTTCCCAACCCTCTCTCTCGTCTCTCTAACTCTCTCTCTCTCAGCTATACCCACCCAAGCTCATATCTCCCCCAATCCCAATTTGCAGCCATACCCACCCAACCCCAACCCCAAACCCAAACCTTAATAATCTCCCCAATCCTGGTGCTGCAAACACCGCGCCATCGCCACCATAATCCCGGTGCTGCAACGAAGAAGTCGAGGCGCCGAAGTCGACGGAAACTGTAATGGAAGGGGACCGGAAGCAGCATCGCGATGCTGCTGTAATGGAAGGGGACTGGAGCCTCTTTGCACTGAGTCGATGACAGCTGCGCTTTGCGGCGATCTGGAAGCTGTAGCCGGAGACACCACCAGAAGTATCGCTAGGAATGCCATCGATGAAGCCTTGCATCCCACCTTGTCTCCTTCACTCCGTTGTTTGATGAGAGGCATTGCGAGATCTGGTGCACGACCTGTTGTACTGTGATGTTCGATCCGGTGGCATCGAAGTTTGGGGGGAGGGGGGTTTGTTGGTTGTTTGACTGTGGCTGTTGTGGTGCTGTGTTGATGGCACTCATGAAGTGGTGGTTTTTATTTAATTTTTGAAATTAAACAAGCTCATCCGATGGTGATGGTTGTGGGTGTAAGGATGAATGGGTTGATGTGGTGGTGGTGGAGGCATAGTCGGCACCACTGTAGAGTGAGAAGGTTGCAACCAGAGTTGGTGGTGTCGGGAACCTTTTTTGATTAATGACCAGATCACGATTTGACTACTGGGTAGTTCATTGTGACCGTTTGTGATCTGACCATTTGTGTCCGATTGTGACTGGTTATTTGTGACTCATTGTGACCGATTGTGACTTGAAATTCTGAAAATTTTTTGGAAGTTGGGAATGGGTGGATGGGGTGGATACGTTGATCGGAGCATGCATTGGAGTTGTCATTGAAGTGGTTTTCCAGAAGGATCGTGAATAGCCGCCGGAGAGAGCCTCGGAATAGTCGCTGGAGCGGCCACCAGAGAGAGCATCGGAACTGTCGTCGGAGCGGCTACCGGAGTAGATGGCTGCCTCCAATGAAGAGAAGGGGTAGGGAAATGATAGAGAGTTTAGAGAGAGAATGATTTGGATTTGAAATTTAATAAATTTGGATAATTGTATTATATTATCATTATAAATATTAATTATTGATTTAACACCTGATTTTTGAAAAGATTTTTGAAGTTTGTTATTTTTGAAATGTAATTCTTATATAGGATTCATGTATTGTTCCCATAATACAATTTATATTTCTTGACACCTAGAATCATTATACTTATCTCAGTCTTCATAACCATCATAAACATAATCGTATTATGATCATTGAATCCACGACAAAAAATTCGACTTTCAGCTACCATAAAATTGTGCCTGCATTAAACAAATTTCCTGATTTTCCTTGGGGTGGGTGGGTAGTATTAGTTTTAGCTAATTTAGGGATGGCCGAATTTGGGCTGGAATTGCAAATAAATTTATCAATTCCTTAATTTACTTTTAAGTATAAATATTATCTTTTTGGAATTAGGCATTCATGACGCGGGATGTTGCGCCATTGTCTATGACAGTGAAACTAGTGATAGTTGCAAATAATGACTTTTCCTTCCTGCATCTGCATATATTATTTTGTGGATGTGGTGTTTTGTCAATAAAAAGTTTTAGGCATCCCATTTTTCTACAATATTAACATGTGATCACAAGTTAGGAACACATGATAAACATGATTTTTTCGATGTATAATTAAATGAATTAGTTATATATCTTCTTTCCCTCATTTTGTGGTTTTTCTCATAACTAGTTTTGGCCCATGCAATGCATGCATGGCCTGTCATAATTTTGGAGGTTATGTTAGCGTATATATGATAGATGAAATTAGGAAATGAACTTAATTGAGCCAGAATTTTTAAAGACTAAATTATGAAATCTTTACAATAGAAAAAAGAAAAACAAAGAACCATGGCTGGTGTGTGAGGCATTGAATAAATAATGCATAATCAAAACGACAGAATTATATAACTAACCTAATATTATTTAGAAAAAATACACGATTGGCAGATTAAGGGGTCGTCCCTGTTAAAAAATTGGTATTATTTAAAGAAAATAAGTGAAGGAACCCAGTCAACAATTGTAGGAAGTAAAAAATCCATGCTACCCTTTTGTTTTCAAGAGAAGAGACACATGATGGCAGTGGATAATAATTATAAAAACTTTCACAAGTATAAAAAGTAAACAGTAAATAATGGAGGATAAAATGGGGAAGGAAAATACTTTGTAATGGATGGTGGATCTCTTTATCTTTTTTATTTAACCAAAATATATTCCCAAATCTGTTTTTCTGTAATTGAAGGCATATGTAAAATCTATTATTATCATTTCTATAGGCCCTTCAGATGCTGCTGTTGTTATTTGTGCCGTTGTTTCCTTGTTTGGAATGTGATATTTTTAGTTCGTAGTTATCCTGTTTGCATTTCCCCGTTTGTTTCCTTTTTATTTTGGCTGCTTGATTTAAGCTACTTTCAGTATTCATGTTACAACACCATATGGAGGAGGGGTGAAGATATTCAATAGTATATTCAACTCAGATGATCACGGAACACGAATTAGACTCTCTACCGTCAGCTGCACCATCACAAGGCAATCGAGATTCTATTACCACTGACTCCAGCCTACAGGGCTTCCAAGTATCCCTTCAAAGCGTAACACAAGCACACTACAACAAATTTCACTTTTTACGGCGTGCAATGCATGCCGTAAAAGCCTCTTTACGGCGTGCGGCCGCACGCCATATAAAGCCATGCCGTAAAAAGTGGTGTACTTTTTACGGTGTGCAAAGTACGCCGTAACAGAACGCCGTAAACTACCTTTTACGGAGTGCAAGGCAGCACGCCGCAAAAGGTGATGCACCTTTTACGGCGTGCATTTGCATGCCGTAAAAGACATTACCCTTTTACGGCGTGCACCTGCACGACGTAAAAGACATCACCCTTTTACGGCATGCAGCTGCACGCCGTAAAAGGGTGATGTCTTTTGTTCAAGCATGCCGTAAATATCATTTTGATTTTTAAAAAATTATTTATTTATTTATTTCATTACCAACAAACCTATAATAATAACAAAACAATATTAATCCATAAATAATCAAGGTTTTCATTGTTTCGATAAATAAAAACATTGAATACGATTCAATACAATTTGTCAATGTAAAGTTCATCTCTACAATTTTCAAAAGACTACTACTACTACTACAAAAAAAAGTGATTGGACCATATCAAAGCTAACTTCTTCGACTGAGAATTTGGATGTCCCACAAAATAGTAACTCCCTGCACACCATAAAACCAATAAGAGTATGGTTAATAAACTTAGAGTGTGTAAAGATATAGCAAAGGCACATTACAAGAATCTCTAAACGCAGTATGAAAACAATTGGCTACTTACAACAATTAGAGAAGACGAAGCAGATGGCAAGATGAAACATATCGGAATCTTCTGCTTCTTTGCTGAATCATGAAAAGAAAGTATGATGATGCCACTATATACACATTAGAACCTCTACAAACCAAAATACATTTACAGCCTTGATGTTCTGCATCATATCTATTCCATGACGGAACTGTCAACCTGCAAACATGAATTGTTCTCTACAAGAAAAACAATGTAAAATGTACAAAGAAGCAATGAGAAACCAGTATGCTCAGAACGGTCCTTAAATTCTAAATATATAATAAAACCTGGCATTCCTTTAGCCTCATACTCACTTTCTTGTCTTATTCATGAGTTGTGCCCATTACTTCGTAACCACATCAGTTCCAACTAAGATAGGAGAAGAAAAGCAAATCTTCACCTTATTTTGCGAATCGGCTCTGCAGTCCCAGTGACATTGACAAGTTCAGCTTCCAGCTCTTTTTTCTTAAAACGAAAAAGGTCAAACAATAAAAGAGTAAACCAAAATTTACGATAAGTAGGAGAGACAAAAATTCCAAACATGAAATGAATTATTACCTCTTTAGAGAACAAGCCTCCAACAGCTGACAAACCAAGAAGCACATCAGGCTTTACTTGTTGCACCTGATTAGATACAAACCAAATTGGCGATCACACATACTACAATGACAATAATCACCAAAAGTAATAAAGAATGAATAATATGTCAGGTCATACCCAAAGAAGCAGATAAGAAAAGATCTTTAAGGAAATTCTAGTGTATTAGAATTCTAAAATATTTATCACTCACTAGTCGGCGAACGTGCAATGCACGTGTTTTAATTTAGTTGACTATCTAATAGCGTGGAATGATTGTTAGAAATCCAAATTGTAACAGATTTAGTTATATGGTATTCATACAAAATAAGAGAAAATGAAGACAAATTTAATGCTTGATAAAAGTGTCAACTGTCTAAATTTGAATAAAACCTTAATCGAAGTTTGGTAGTTACCTTAGATCGAGATTTATAGAGATTCCGTTGCAACTGCTGAAATTTTGAAATCTGTAGAATTTTTTGATAACGTTTTTGAAGAACTGTAGAGAGGAATGCGCGAGAGTGTTGGATTGTTGTTGTCGAATCACCCTAGCAAGCATGTATAGTAGTGTCAGAAAGGGTAAACATTCATGTAGCCGCCTACGTCTATTTAATTTTGTTTGAAGATGATCACAAAAGACTTGTGGAGAAAGCGTATTATGAAGAGTTTGCCATAAGTAGCTGAAGACTTAAATCAAATGATTTCAGATTAGAAATGTGTGAGACAAGGCAGAAGCCACTAAGTTTCACGAGAAGGGGGAAAAAAGAACCACCTTAGTAAGTTTGATCACAAAACAATACTCAACCTTCATTTTAAAAATTGAACAGGCAAAATAATTACCAAAACAATCAACAATAATTAGCAGGATGGTTAAACTTAAAGAGAATTGCATACTATTTAATAACTAAACCCTCATATTATCTGTTATGAGTGCAATGTCTAGCATTAAAATGAAGAATTTGCTCTATTCAGTCAAAGTCTTCAGGTAGAGCATTTTAAACATTGCCCATCTATGTTAGGAGATGGTGTAGCCTAAATTTCACAGAAAACTAAGCATTTTTCTCTTTGTTAGCCTATGTGAATCCTTTCTTACCACTCCATTAATTGATTCAAGAAGATCTAAAGCATCTATAAAAGAGAATTACTTGTGAGGTCCTTTGGTTTGTTACTTTAGTTTTGAGTAGGTTGTAGAAAATTAGTGGTTGTGAATAATGTTTGTGCTTTATTAATGACTCAGAAACCTTTAGATACCCACTAAAGATGTTTCCACCTAAAAGAAAATTTTAAAATCCAACCTCTATGAGTATGTAACACTCTGACAAAGCTTAAAACAAGTTTTAATTGTATGCTAAAATTGTTGCCTCAAAAAAGAAAAAAGTATGCAGTAAGAGTGATAAATCAGAGTACAATATCCTATTCAATTCTATCAACAATACCTCTATTTTGTGGCATTCTATGGTCCTTAATAATGTGCATATTTAAAAACAAGAAACAAATGGTGAAAGCATTTTGTTAATAGAAAGTTATAACTTTTTGCAACCAATTACTACAAAATGTTAAGCAATAATGAATGCATTGAGCTTGACACTGATAAAAAAGTACCTGGAGTGCCAGGGAATGGGATAACAAGCAGCAGCATAAGTGTGAAGTGTAGACAAATAATTTAACGGAAAAGGGTTTGCAGAATTGATTAGAACTGATGAATATCCCAATTCGAATGCTTTCATAAAAGAGTACGTCGACGAAATTGAAAATCGAGAAACCACAGAACAAGACAGAGAAATCGCCTTCCACTTTCATTTTTTCCTACACCTTTAACCCGTCGATTGCACTTCCATCCCAACTCCAACCCACCGCCGAAGCTCGAAGAAAAACAGAGAAGGTGTCTAGAAACCGAGATATGATCTTCAATGGGAAGAAAAGAGGAAATGGGAAGACCAAATATCAACAACCCATCCCAAAATTACCCCTAAAATCAAGCCCTAATTTCAAAAAATCGACAAAAAGGACCATAAACTATTCAAAGAATTACCTTGGTCAAATTATTTCCGAAAGACGGCTCGGGGTGATTTCCATTATTCCCCATCCTGATTGCTGAAATCTTCATATGAACAAAGAATATCATCCGACTCGAAATCGAACGATTTGGAACCCGAATCTCTACTCCTACCCGATAATCCAGATGCCATAGTTGCTCGAGATTTTCAAATAAACTCAAGAATCTAGATAGAGAAATCATAGATAGAGAAGATTGGATGGATAGATACACAGTATTTTATTGCTTAGCCTGTGAGTAAAAAAAAATGAATGAAGCAGCTCCTGCGTATTTTTTACTTCTACGTAATTTTTTACAGCGTGCAGATTGGCACGCCGTAAACAGGCATATTTTTTTAGCATACTTTTTTACGGCGTGCACACGCACGCCGTTAATACTTCATGCGGATTTTTTTTAACAGCGTGCATACATGAACGCCGTATATACTTAATAGGAGGCGTGAAGTCATTTTTTACAGCATGCACAAACGAACGCCGTAAAATACTTTTTACGGCGTGCGGAAAATGCACGCCTTAAATTGTCACTTTTTTACGGCTTGCATAAAATGCACGCCGTAAATAC